GGCAAGGCCGGACATAATGCAAGGACCTGTCAGGTAGTTATTGAGATATCTGGGGAAGAGTATAGCGAATAGTTTTAATTAATTAGCTAGTTTGTGGTGGTTTTATACCAATATAAAGCCAAATGGTTGAGATTTCTGGTCAGCATACTTGTCCGGTCAGCATGCCTATCAACCACGTTAATCAAATCAATCAAATCAAATCAATCAATCAACCCCTCTCGTACCCCGCGACACGCAACGCTCGAAGCGACAAACTTCAGAAGGACTGCGCTTCCCACTTCACCCTTGAGTGCTATCAACGACTCTTCCCAATATCTCCTTGAAATTCTAAATTTTCAATTACTGGTGCGGATGTTAAGATTTTTTGATCATTTGATATCTTTTTGTTCTATATCCCTTGTCCCTTATTAGGAACCCATCTGTCGTCCCCTGAGGGCCTCTACCAAAAATACTCAAACCCTCAGTTATTCCCATATGACGACACCTTTCTCCAACCCAAATTTTATTACAAAACTCAGTGACTTGGTAGACATGCCATCTTCGCACTCCGTTACGTCTTTAACTTCAACGTGGTGGAACGGTAACGGTGCATCACTGGACATAACGCCCTGCACTCCGCAGGCGCCCATTGTCGCCCAGCAAAAAAGGCGTCCGCAGCGCATCTACCGGCCCGCAAAGAACTCGCTCTACGATATCTTTCAGCAACACGCCGGCACATCGCTATTTGTGCGACCCATTTGTTGGACAGATTTACACGCTCTACTACTCGGCGCGAAATGGGAGGAACTGCCGCCATGCGATACACCTCAGCCGTTAGCGGCCCAAGGCACGCCACCATCGCAAGGACATTTGAGTCCATCGAATACCATTATCAGTCTTAGCAACGCGCTCACGCAGATTCTCCTGCCCGATCCATTGCATCCTATTCTATCCTCAAATGCTGTCAAGTCGGTCCTCAACACGTTGTGGCCTACACCTTTCAACAAGCCGCAGTACCTGCCCGAACTCCATCTATATTTTAGCGGCCGCGTTTATCGTGATGCTGTACGCGCGCAGCTTATGCGGAATTACCCTTCTGAGGAGGCAAAGTCTTCAGACTCTTCATTCAAACCAGTTTCAACGCAAGCCGCTGAGTCCTTCAACATCTCAAAGCAATCGTCTCCCAAATACAGTCCCGCCAACCTACCCATGATCTGTTACGTTAGCAAGATTCAATTGGCTTCAGTCCGAAACAACCTTTTCCGCGTCGCTTCTGGACCTGGACGAACATGGAACGAACCCGTGTTCCGTCTCCAGCAACTGCGAGCTCGGATGCTCGTACCCTCAAATTCCGATCACGATGCTCATTTTGTGGGCGTCTTTCTAGGGATGGCGCAGAAGCACTTCTACCCTATCCCACCTATCAGTGGTAGACGCGACTCGCGCATTTCACCAGGACAGGGCATTCCTCCAAGCCCTAACTTCCACGACATCAAGTTGAAGATTCTCACACACGACATCGATACATCTGAGTTTATTGTCTACACTGGCCACATCACAAAGGAGTTCTTAGAGAAGTTCCACGATCCCTTCAGGGCTCCAGCTGGCGATGATGATGCTATCGTTTCTGGTCTCAAGATAGAGTACACGAGAGTTCCTATCTGGCCGATTCTGGGACTCAGAGAGAGACTTGGCAAAGCTCTAGGCCAAGAGATTGTCGGAACCTTCGACCCAGATAAGATGGAGACCTGGGAGAAGGACCCCGAGAAACCACGTGGCGAGAAGCGCGAGCGCACATCCTCACCGAGGTCGCCAGAACATACCGAGGAAGAACCAGAAATCATTTCAAAGAAACGGTGCCTAAGCGAGGGTACGCCTGTGGGCGTGGTGGTGTGAAAGCAAGCTACATGCAATGTATGGTATGAAACTGAGATGGGATGGATATATCTACGGTTTAATTTTGAGGGCAACAGGATACATTAGGCTGGCTGAAGTGTCTTTGGGATTCATTAAGACTCACTCTGCATCACAGGCACGCATGACATGGGCAACGGCGCAGAGTTATCAGGGAGTTAGGTTATGCACCACAGTGTTTTGCTTTTGAGATACAAGGTTGGCGAGGGAGTCAACATATGTAAATGCCCCTTCTCTTGATAGGGGCAAAGATTCTGAGCAAGGACCAACAAGAGTGCCAAAGAAAGGCCTAGATGAGTGGATACGACACCTAGTTAAAGCAGTTGACGAAACCGAAAGAATTCAACCCCAAAAGATTACATTGCCAGCATGGTTCAGTTTGAAAAGGTACGAGCAATTGGTAACTATACAGTTACACTTATTATGGCTCTGTGACCAACACTCGAATCACATAATAATCATGAACTCCTCACATAAATTTGAATGGGTCTGAATGCTACTATTCCTATGTTGTACGGAAGCAGTGCTTTCGAGTCCGCCGTGACTGTCCAGAAGCGACCGCCGCTTCCTACATCATCTTGTCTCGTACATCACAAGCCATGGCGCTGTTCTGTCTAGACGGCCTCGCTATACCCTTGGGCGCCACGAATCGATCTTTTTGAGCTTCGTGTTCAGCAGCGAAGACATGTCATTGGCCAAAATAAGTTGGAATTCAGCAATGTCAATGCAATCCAGGGTAACCACGAACATAGAGGAGGTTGTAACCACCTCACACCAAGAATCCTGCTACGCCCGCGGTCCTGTGGCGCCTACTGAGTGAAGCATTACCAAAATGACATTGCGAAGTACCCCAAAGTCATAGAAAAAGGGCAAGAAGGTTTATAAGCACAGCCTTTGGATTGATTGATAAGGATGATCAAGTTCATGCCAATGAGGACTACCCGGTTGCGAAAGGAAGCAGGTTGAATATATGGAGGACCCTCCAGTGTTCCAATCAATGGCCAAGCCCGACTCAATTCACTTGCTAGTCCATACAACGGGCAGGTTCATATCGGCACCAAAATTCACGACTCAATTACGAGCTGTGTTTCTCATGGCTGTGTTGGAAAGGGAAACTTATTCTGTCGAGCTGGGTTGCATAATGTATCAGGGGCCCGTTCTCCTAAGATCTTCTAATTGTGGAGAGAGCCTGGAGCTTCTAGACGTCTGGTGGCACTGGTCAAGGGTTTCGAACGATCCTGGAAATGAGGGTCGCCGATTATCGACATTCCTCTGACACGTGTCGCCCTCCTCTCCTCGCATACATAGGTACTATGACCGCTCTCTGGCTTTCCATCTCTGTGCTCGTTTTTTTTTTTTTTTTTGGCAATACTACGACTGTGAGTATGATCTTGCTGTAAAGTGACAGCTCTGTGATGAATTCTGGCTGAAATTGCTTTATCCTGGGTTGCTTGCAATGCGCCGTAACAGCACATATGAGGACGACAAGCGGCAAGGAGAGCATTCACAATCTACATCAGATAGCAGCAGCTCACTCGGGTGCCATCTCTGAACAAACGTATCAAAAGATTGTTGATTCAATCAGCCTGTACTAAAGAGAAAAAGAAGAGAATTGGAAATACAGAGAGAAAAGGAGAGTAAATCTTTCCGCAGCAGATCGTGAACTTCCAGACAAACCAAGCAGTCAGCCAACTAATGTTCTTCGTTTGCTGTCGCAGTGTTCCAATGGTCTAACCGACTTATGAGTTGATCAAAAGTCTTGAGGAGGTGATGCTTCTTCAGGTCGTTTAGGGGGCTATAATTCGAGTCCGACAGGCAAGCAACAGCGTAAATAGCCTGTGCCTCAGGACTTTCACGCACAACACCATAGACCTTCTCCTCCAAATAGAAAGGGGCATAAATTGCAAAGTGGCAATGATCTGCTCAGGAGATTCAAATAGAGGTTTCCCACTAAAGCGAAACTGCTGAATATTTAGTTTTCCTTCGCAGTAACTCATCCGATCATAGATTTTAAGCTGAGGCGAGAGGGGCAGCGACAGAAGCGATTCGGTTTCCGAAATTGCCCATTTAAATCCGCCCTTGAGCTGTTTCGTCATAAAGGTCTCCGAGATGCATTTGATACATGGCTCAGGCAGCGCCTTGTCATGACTAGCCTTATATTCCTTTGCACGAAATAAGGTGACAGACTCGTAACACAGTAGTGTGTTGAGCGATATCATAGCCTGGGAGATCTTTCACCTCTCCCCAGTAGGCCAACGCAATGGAGGTCAGGTTCCGACACGTGGCGGCTCTGATGTGTTCACATTTGTACAAGGTGGAATCATCTTCTCTATGATCCTCCTTTCCTCTGATAGGAGTCCCGTTACCGGATCGCTCCAGATTGTGTATATCTTCTATCCTGCCTCTGCATTTCAAGGATGGTAGAGTCTTGGGTTGGATATATCGACCAGGTGCCGCCCGTTTCTCATTACACATGATGTAAATATTGAACAGTAACCTTGTTGGATTCTGCATTTTTATTTCGTTCTCCGAAGCCCGGCACCCCGAAGCCCTGTAGCACTTGATGATGAATTGGATGGCTGCGCCTCCAGGCTTGTGTTGCAGCCAGTCTGCAGCGCATGACTTGAGCCTTGATGTCAAATCCAGGCATCTGGCAGCACCATTTGTGGCATTGCCTCGACGGATGCAAATGAGACTGTAGAGAAAGCTTAAAACCTCATCAAGACAAATATTGGATGGGAATGTATAGCCAAGACGACCGGAACATCGTGCAAGCGAAAATCAGAGCGTAGATGTTGAGTTTCTCCGGGGGCCAGTCCAAGAAATCTAACTCGTGTTCGTCGTACTCTTCTTCCAGTGAAATTATATAACCACAGAAATTTGAAGTTCAACTCTCTGCAATTTGGCGGCTCGTGATATTCTCGAGGATTGCCACCGTCGACTTTGTGGATGACACTCGCGTCCACCGTCAAGATGTGAGTGTCCAGGCGGTAGGGCATTACAATTGAGAATGAAAGGTGCAGAGATGATGATACTATGGTCACAGAATAGGAAGCCGCCTCTAAAGGAGCGTCGGGAGCAAGACTTTGGCCTGATTCGTACTGTACATATCAATACCTCGATCAGCTCCGTGACGCTAAGCTCCCTGTGCGGCATCGTCCTTGTCCCACTCTTACTGAGTTATGCTTCAATTCTTGGACTAACTCGTCAGTTGGGACCATAAATGGAGATCTCAGTCTTCTCCAGGTTTTGGACCACTATCGCAGGGTGACCAGCGTTGTATACCCTTGCCACGCTCCAGACTGGCAAGCCCCCTTCGCGCATGCGCACGGCGAGCATGTCGTACTTTCGTCGCCATGAAGAAGTATGCCTCGCGAGGTTGACGGCGTGCTGGAAATAGTGAGATTGCGCAAGATAGTGAAGGGAGGTTGCAGACTCGCAACAGATAGAACTCCGTTTTGATAGCTACGTTAATGATGGCTGAGTTGAACATGAATGAGAAACTAACCCGGTAGCAGACATCTGACAATCCGATCACGATGCCAACACATTTGCAGCAATTTGATCCATGGGTCTTGGAGAAACTTGCATCAGGGTTGAGGGTTCAGATATGATGGCACTTCGTCTTCTGGTGCTCTGAAATGTCAGCGATGTCCACGAACAGATTGATTAACTATGCCTACCGGAAGCAATATTGCTGTCCTTAAACGGCCATAGCAGGCGAATTGCGGGGTCTTATCGCCCGTCATCAAAGCCCATATGATGGCCATTCGGCCAATATTGTGCCTGGCGAAAAATAGTAAGTTTAGTAACCTCCACCGGCCTGCTCGAGTTGCTCAACTAGTAGTTGAAACCCACTAGCAAGTCGTGGAAGCCTTCGTTCAAGAGCGAGGCTCGTAGGGCGTCAACAGATAATAGATGAACGCAGACTGTACAGGACCATCCATGGTTGCAGTGGTGCGCTGTCTGGCACTTGCGACGTCTTGTTTCTTGCTGCGAAAGTCTTCGTATGGATGGAGAAGCAGATCCGGGATGGAAAACAGCTCGTTTCAAAGGCCGGTCAAATATAGATGTCATAGCTGCTTGAGGGTCTTATAGTGGTCGGCCATGCGAGTAAAGGTGAGTTTCTTGGACAGCGTCGATGATGAAGCGCACTTTCTACCTTCCCCATTTCAATGGGCTCCAACAACCTTCCACAGAGCTTTGTCCACAAAGCTAACTTCAATAAAGTGCAAGTAGGCCATGCTTCCAAAATTCAATCGTCTCCGAACGCACAGCAACCTTTCCGACGCCGAGAACCATAACGAGGAGGGCGAGTGTGAGTAGCCCACTCTGGGACCCATCACCGCTATCGCTGTCTTGGTCGTCACCACCGTCCTCGTTACTCTCTGCGCCGAGTATCTTGTTGACAGCACTAATAGCCTTGTCACCACTTCGGGAATCAGCCGAGGTTTCATTGGTCTGATCTTGATTCCTAGCGTGGGCAGTGTCGCAGAGCACGTCACCGCCGTTGCTGTTGCGCTCCGTGACAAGATGGACCTCGCCATGGGTGTTGCCGTTGGCTCTTCG